GCCAGGTTTAGACCACATCTTTCCTCTGCCTCACTACCTATATGAACCATCAATCAGCAAAGAGAACAAGGAAAGATCAACAAAAATAGTCCATCAGGGACCACAGCACACCGTACCATCGCATCACTCACTGACAAAAGCCCACAGCCTTCCATCCATCAAGCAACTCTATTCTCTCACTTCTCACTTCCTGCTGTTGCTCCATCTATCCCCCGATTCTTTCCCTCTCCTGCTCCAGATTCTTTTTTTTATTTTCCTCTTGTTTTGCCTATTCATCACTGCCCTATGGTTGATGTTAGCAAGTCATTTTTGAGTCATTTATATCTTCTTCAAGTCATTACACCTCAACCTCAAAATCAAAACTCAGTGGAGGTCTTCTGGCAGACACACTGCAAAAGCTGGTGATGAAAGAGAACACAAGATGTTTGAGGTCACATCTGAGAAAGTTAAACTGAAACACCACAGACCGTTCTCTGTAAACACAGACATGTTGCCACATCGCAAAATGAGCATTAAAAGCGTGCTGCTACTAACACGTCTGTTGGCATTTAGTGAGGAACAAATCTCAAATGTTATATTACTGTATTATTTATGTGCCTGATTCAGACTTTGACTTAAGCGCCTTGAACCTGCTTCAGGTCTGGATTTCCCCTGTGTGGCTAAGTGACCACCTGCAAAATGCTCGACTCAAGTGAGGAGAATGTAAATCAAAGCATATTGACCTTCACAATGTGAAAACCTTAACTAATATCTGCCAAAGACATTAAATACAAAGTGATTTGTTGCATCAAAAAAATGAAGGTAATAACTCAGATTAAGGATTTAGAGTAACCGCAAAAGAAGACAGACAGTAATAGGTCACACTGAGAATGCCAAAAATTATTTGTGCTAGGACTTTCTGTATGTCAAGTATTTCCACATGAATCTCTGTAATACCTTTTAACCAGTGAGCCACAGCACACAGGGCCTACTTTTTGCTGAAAGTGAGTAGCAGGATCCAACAGAGAGCAGGAGCAGGAACACAATAGTAATCTCAAAGCACAGCACAACTCACAGCTCCACAGCCAGAATCGTTCTTGTTATTCCATGTATACAGTACACATTCAATACAATTCAATTTGATTTGTATAGCGCCAATTCATAACAGAAGTTATCTCAGGACACTTTTCAAAAAGAGCAGGTCTAGACCGAACTCCTTTTGACAATTTACAGAGACCCAAGAGTACCACCATGAGCAAAGCACTTGGCAACGGGGGCCAAAAAAAAACTGCCTTTTTAACAGGCAGACAACCTAGGACAGACCTTTCGGCTCTAGGTGGGTGGTCATCTGCGTTGACCAGTTGGTGAGAGAGAGAGAGGAGAGAGAGAGAGAGAGAGAGAAGAGAGAGAGAGAGAGAGAGACGAGAGAGAGAGAGGTACAGCAACAAACAGTAGCAAAAAACTACATTAACTAGTAGTGGACCGATGACGATCATCGAAAAAGATGAGTGACGACAGCAGCAACGATGGGGGACAGCGAGCAGCGGCAACAGTAAACTGTAGCAAATAATAATCTTAATAATAACTAATAATAATAACACAATAATATCAGTGATTTTAGCATACGTGCTCTTCGTTGCTAAAATGACAATAACCATGCGCTGCATTAACCATGTGTGATGAGTATGTATACAAAAATTTCACTTATGAAAAAATAAAGTCTCTTTTTGTCATATATATAATATAGTATACACATGCATAAGTTATATGCATTTACTGTGATTTACTGTTATGCAATGGCTTGAGGATGGTTATGTGGCTCTACAACACACCCCACAACACCAACTCACAGTTTTACATTATATATTTATTTGTTATTTTTGTTTACATACTATGCAAACATGGTCCTCTTGAGCCAATAAAACCCAAATCTGAAGGAATGTTACTTGGAATCACAAAATCAGATCAGACGACACTCCAACCAAAAATTCATTTTGCCCATGTACAATAAATCTAACTCAATGTGCACCTTAGCACTTCATCACAGGTAGGGATAGCTGAATCCAATAAGCAGGCCCACATGACTTATAGTTTAATGTTAATATTCAAAACTATCTTCTCAAAGAACTAAAACTAAACAAAGTCAAAGCACATGCAAGCCCCTTTTGCTCTGGGGTTGTGGCCTGGGCCTTTGTCGCTGGCTGGTTAAATATGCAGGAAGGTCTCTGATAGGTTACCTGATCTGCTGGTGTATAGTTACAGCCCTGCATTGTCCTGATCGCGGCATGAAAGACACATACGCATACTGTATTAAAGGGTTACGTTTCCACAGACATGAGCAGCAGGATCACAATGCTGCACACACTCATTATTTTCCACATTTTCCAGTTATCTGGAGACGTATTCAATCACGCCCATTTAGAAGCTGTCCTTAACTTTGACTGACAAATAAATACACTTCCATTTTCTCATTCCCTACTCACAGTGCTTGCTCTGTTTGGGGACCGGTCCCTTTTTAGTCCCATCCTGATGTGAATTGCTTTTAGAGACAAATGTCTGTGAGATGAAGCTGCTCCTCAGGTCTGGGAGACACCAGTCTGTCTCAGGGGGAGTGGACTACTGTACCAATCAGTGCCATTCATCATGAGACCCACCTGGCGCGCACACACAAACACATATATATATGGGGAGGGGTATGATGGGCCAGTAGTCCCAGTAGTGGGAAATCTTGGGCTCTTGAGGAATTTTAAATGAGACGTAGAAACAAACTGCTCAAGGGAGATGAAGTAATAATATGAGTGGAGGGAAGGAATGAGGTGAGAAGGGAGATCTTGTGAGAATGGCTGTGCTTTCGAGCTGAATGATTGACAGACAGTAAAGGAATGCAGGGCCATGGCTGGCTTCAAGCGCACTCAATATCTTTGCTCATCCTCTGGTTTGCCCACTTAGTCCGGGAAACCCTAGCCTTTCCTAAGCGGGGGAAAATGCCACTTCAATAGCAGGAAAAAAACGTCTTGAGACCGGAGATGAGAGTCCACCAATCAGCACTGACAGCGCATGTGTTTGTGTATGTGTGTGTGTGTGTGTTTGAGGTGATCAAGACTGTCGGATCTGATTACAGCCCGCTGCAGTAGCCTATGAGAAATGTAGAAGATAGACTACAGAGCCCAGTGATGTGCCCAGTGTTAGGAGAATTATAGTCAATTATATATAATTCCCCTGTCATGCAGCTACATGTTAATGTACAAACATATATATATCTGTGTTATATTAACAGACACAGATACAAACACACCACCTGACTACTCATGAGCATCATTTTCTTTTCAGCTTTGGCAGAGACACAACAAATCAGCAACAAGAATGCTATGTTTTAATGGCATGATATGACATTTGACTCTTTGGCACTTAAATTGACATCCTGACCTGTATTTGGAGAGAGATATCCTTCAGCTGTGATTTGCATTGTAGCAGTAACGTTGGGTTGCACTCATACCCTTGAATGAATAATGTGTCCACATGTGTTGCCAATTGTTTGGACAGTTTGCATTGGCTGTATGACTGAGGGATGAATGTTGACCAGCCTTAGACATCTATGTTACAGTGCATCATTTCTAATAGTTGCCCTCTACTCAATATAAATACAGGTAGAAAATATTAGCTATGGTGATAGATTTTAGCAAGCCAGATGACTTAATAGCTGACCATAATGTGTCGAAAGTGTGAACAAAAGAGATAAGGAATTTGGGAGATAAATCATAAATTACAGGGGGTGACATGTTTACCAGTCTCGTCACAAAGTTACACCTATGGCAAAAGGACACACATGCACACAAACCCATTTCTTTCCATGCCATTTCAGTAGGACACACAAACAAAAACATCTACACACACAAAACCACCCACTGAAAACTAATTCCTTTAAGTATGATGTATTCAGCTAACTGCGAGGGCCAGAATTCCTTGCACATGTATGGACAATTAGGCCTAATTTTGGCCCAAATTGCTTCCTGTAATGATGAGTGGACATAGTTAACAGGCTGCTCTCAACTGCCTAACACAAAGAGATCTAAAGTATCAGTTCCAAGTCTAGAGAGTGATGGAGAAAAATGCTAAATGCTCTCCGCCTCCGCCCCCCACCCCACACACATACACACCTCCATTGCTCTTCATTCAGCCCGCCTCCATCGCTAACAGCAGTGATAAAATCATTAGAACCACAGCGTTTAGAAACTTCAAAGATGAGGAAGAAAAAGCTGCCAGCTTTCTCCAGCCTTCTGACTGACCCACCCACACATACAAGCCCACTGGTGGACTAAAGGAGCCACACGCATAGACATTTTTTTCCACCCACCTAAATGTCCATTAGAGAAACAGAAACAGAAAGAAACCAAGGCTGAGCAACAGGATTATGTACACGTTTTCTTTTAGATCTCTGATGTTTTGTATCTGAGAACAGATGCATTGTATGGCTTGCACATCTGTGGTTGTGATGACCTCTGTTATCTCATATGTGTTTGTGAATTGTGAATTCTTTTTCAAGATCAGTGCATATTGATTATCGTCCCTGTGAATGTGCCAGTGTTATCCAAACTGCAAATTTTCTCCCTGGACTGCAAAAACCTGTTGTTTTTAAATGAATTAGCAGAACATAAAAGCAAGCAAACAAAGGACTAAAAGCCAAAAAGGATGAGTATAACAGGAAACACAAGAAAAGGGAATCACTTATTAATAACTGTAATACCAAAAGACATACGTACACATGTTAAAACAAACGTAACATATTTCAGCCCTTCCTACTATTATTGTAATAGCGATTAATAGACATCTTCACTTTCAGACAGCCTCATCCATCTGACACTGTGTATTTTTACAAGTGCTTTCCAGGAAGCTGGGTTAGCTCAGTGCATCATGTGTGGAGTGTTTGCATCTATGTGGGTGTATTTGTGTGTGTTTATATGTGTGGATTTCGTAAATCCGTCTGTGTATGTGTGTATGTGTGTGTGTGTGTGTATGCTGACCTCTGTCTGCAGCGTATTGGCGCGTTGCTCCTTAGCGCTGAGCGACTCCTTTAGCACTTCGATGTGTTGCTTGCAGTCTGAGTTCTGATTGGTCAGCGTTTCTAGTTTGGTCTGCAGGGCCTGCATCTCTGACTCCTTCCTGTTCAGCTCCTGCTTCAGCGTCTCTATCTGACAATCACAGAAACACAACCACACATTTGATATGAAAACCTTTTAATCATCATTGAGTGAATTCATATACTTGCAGATAAGAAAAATGAATATTTTTTTTCTCAAGCAAGCACACATGCACATGCACAAACCACATACACAACTCCTGCGCAAACACATCAATCAATCATGGGTTGCTGTTGTATATTACTGCATTTGACCGTTTTCCCCCACACTTTGTTCCCTATGAACAGAACTTTCAAAGCAAACAAGAGTTTTGAAAGCAGACATTCCTTTGAATGCAGAAATAGGCTTAAACATGCTGTTTAATATAGGAGTGGGTAATATGGATTATTAATTAATTAAAAGCATGATAGCTACCTCATAAATTCAAAATCACATGGCAAACAATGTACATTTTTCATTCTACAAACTTTTCTAACTTATTAATAATACAATCCGAAATATTTCTCATTCTGTGACACGTTTAGTTAAAAATACATTTCTGATCATTTATCATTTAGACATGAAACTGCAAACTATAACATCTAAATATGTTTAATGTGTCATGATCTGATTTATTTGGAGGGACGATACATTACTATATTGAATTATCACCCAGCCCTACATTATCTGTCTTCACTCAGGGGAGTCCCAGGCCTACTGTCTGCTCTTTGGACACACCAAGCCAAACAGCCAAAGGGTGACAAATACATGCAGGCAGCTGTCTCAGTTATGGGGACCAATATTACACTCACATAGCTGACAGATTACAGTTTTAAGGAAGGTCATGCGGAACAGGACAGAAAGCCACAGAGGAAATCAAATGCACTAACAGAGGGAGGTTTCTGTGCTGAGGCTAACTATGTGCAGAAGATTGTCATCTGTCTACTGGTGCCAAAAATGCACAAAGCTGATTCGAAAGAGAGATTTCTCTAATTGTGTGAGCAGGGTTCACCTCATAACAGGAGGATTCTGACTGGACCAGAGCTTGGCCAATCAACCCTCACTCACAGAAAGAAAGAGCAGAAGAGAGCAGGGAAGAGGGGGACTGAATAATAGGAGACGTTGGGGGCCAAGTGAGATGGAGTCAAAAAGAGACAGTGTGAGACATGATCGGAGAGGGGAGACTGGAGAGAGGATAGCAAGACAGGGAAAGAAAAAGGGAGTGGACTAAAAATAATATGATAAAGAAAATGAATACAATAAATGAGAGAGGAGAGAGACTAATGAGAGGGGTACTTCTGCTTGTTCTGTGATCCAGGGCTGTTGGGTGGGGAGGAGGAAGTTGGGAGCTTTTCTGATGGAAGACACACATGGAGACATGGCCTGCTCCTACAGTGACACAAAGACAAGAAAGACAGCAAGCCACTAAACTACAGCACACAGCCAGATGGGAAACTTAAGAACCATTTTCCTAGCTGTCTCCTCCACAGACTCCTCAACCACACAGCTGAGGCTTCAGAACGTAACACTCGGTGAAGTTCTGCTACGATTATCTGGATAAATAAATGAACCTGCTCTAATGCCTACTTATCGTACTTGAACAAATGTTCATGTTCTCGGAAGCTACTTCCTCGTGTTTGAGAAAATCAAAGCCAAGAGAGGAAACCAGAGAGGACAGGGATGCTGTCCTCGCTGGTTTCTCTTATCGCCGTCTCACCTCAACACCAGTCGCCACCACTGCTGAAAGACAAGGACCCCAAACACTTCAAGGATATAGAATGAATCTGTGTGCCTGTGCATATCCATGTGCGTGGTGTCTTTCTGTGTAACGCAGAAAGATGAGACATGGGAGAGCGAGCCAGGGCCATCTCTGGGATGCATATCATCCCAGGTCAGTACGGGTGAGGAGAGAGCTCTTTCCTCTGTCGTTGTAAGCTCACATTCATCTGTCAGGGCCCCATTCATAAAAACATCTCTTTTATGATTGCATCAGGAACTTCCCCGATGCAATGACAAATGGGCCCGACAAAGAGCACCATTAATGAACCAAAGAGAAACATTTTCACATGGAGCGCTACTCATGGGCCTCAGCCATCATGGACACTCAGCAAGAAACTCTGTGAAACCCGAAACTGCATTTTTTTTTTTTGACATGGCTCCTGTACATATGCTCATGTGCTTGTTCCAATGTGTGCATGTCAGTTTGTGCACTGCTTGTGTCCCAATGAATAAACCAGTATATGGCCTGGGACAGAGAAATGTTAGTCAGGCCTTTCTAAAGGTCTTCCTGCCAGCTAAAGGTAGGATAGTAAGCAGACACGGTGCACTGTAAGCTGATAGGGCTTGAGTTTGCTCCCACAGAACTGCCAGCAGTCACAGATAGGAGAGCAGCAAAATGCTTGGTCATCACACAGGCAAAGTAGATAAGACACACAAGCATTTCATGGGGAAAAAAAGAAAGAAAAAAGAAAACTCTTTATAGAACCTCTCTGTAAATATGAAATAACAAATATGTTCATAGGCGTAGGAGTTCTTGGTATCCATGCAACACGGGAGGCTGACATAAAGCTGCCAAAAGACAAAGCATACTGTAAAATGCAGTTTAGCTTTAAGATTTCTCCACATATTTGCTTGCTTCTCCATGAGTATGAAATGGTGACATGCAACATGCACATAACAGGTTCTCACACAGTTGTAATTGATTTTTTAAGGCAAACATGCATCACAGTCAGGTCATGCACAGTGAAGTTGTCTCGGGTGACATGCAGAGACATTCTACCTTTGTCTTCATGAATTTAGAATGGCTCTTGTAGACCTCCACCTGCTTGAGCTCATCCTGCCTGTCGTCAGGGTGCAGCAGGCCGCTGGTCTTTAACATCTGGACCTCATCCTCTAAGTCTCTGATGTTCCTCTCCAGAGAAGAGATCTTGGTGTCCTGCACCAGCAACAGTAGGCAGGCAAAGAGTCAGCGAAGATCTGACTTTGTTTATTAGGCTCTGAACTTTAATAGGGCTTACCTGTCTTGCTATTGTTTAGATAACGATCTGTCTACCTATTGATCTATCAATTTATATCTTTATAATGTCATGCAAAAAAGTACAAATACAAGGAGAGAGCAGGTTAACAAAAAAATAATCTTTCACAGAATCTGTTCACATGAACGGTGGGAGAAAGAGCTGTGCAAAGAATGCAAAAAGAGAGCTTAAGGGAGAAGTTCTAACCTTTCTCACCTCCACACAGCTGGCCAATCAGGGAGTAAAGTGAGTGAATGTTGGATTGTTGGTTTTAGGAAGTTAAAGGAATTGTCAGACACAGCCTCTCCAATTGGGACATTGAAAAGGTGTGTGGGGAGGGGGTTTCCGAAGCTATCTGACCATCCGACCATCAGTTCTGATGAAGTGAAGTGATAGCTTAACCCAATGCAATATCTGTCTGGGTTCCTAGGAAAAATATTTAACTAAAACAGCACTAACAGACATTCATATTCACAGAAGCCCTCCTGTACCTGTATCTAGATTAAAACCTATTAATGTGTACCCCTATTTCTGATTGGTAAAACAGGGCAAATATCTAGGCAGACAGTTGTATGCAGCCAGGATGTTTTTTTTCTTTGCTGTATCTATGAGGGAATGGAATGGTCTGTCATGGACAGGTCCTGAGGTTGTTTAGCTGCATGGGTTCAGACATACGTTAAATGCTAAACCTTGGAAGAGACGAGAAAGGTAATTGAATAAATGGAAGCAGATTGCGTGATGCCATCAGCACAAACCACAGGCAACATGTAAGCATCTGACCTCTATTACATCCTCTGACATCAGCCCTGCCTAGCACATGGTGCTGCATATACCATCCTAAGCACACAAACAAACGTTGACCAACCAAACAGGAAGGTACGTATAACACACCGACAGACGCCAAGACATGAAGAGTCTATGAAAGGACGTAGACTTTCAATGTAGACCCAGAAAAAAGTTGAGGTGGGGCATTCAGGCATCTAGGGCAATCCCTTCACCTTACACAAAGCATACAGACTATGCTATTCAATCATTTCCATTGATTCACATTAATTCCATCTGTGGTATAAGCTACACTATATCTTTGATAACTGATTGCTATCTGTTCGAGAAAAACATCAGCCAGAGGAAGAGAAACAAGGCAAACCCAAAGAAAACACAGAGGGTGATATCAAAAACAACATTCAGTACAATAAGAATACATGTAAGAAAAGCTGGGCCTCAAAACCACTGAAACATGAACTACTGTATGTGACGGTGCTGCATTCCAACCCAGGAAGACTTTATGATAGGGATAGGAGGAAAACACCAATTCTGTATATTTGTAGCCCATGTTGAGTTGACAGAAGGATCAAGAGGTGAACACTCATTACTGTACCTGCCAGATAACGTCAGGATCAAAACAGAAAGGGGGGTTGGTGTTCTGCAATCACAAAACGGAAATACACGCCACTTAGAGACAAGCAACCACGCAGACATCGTGGACACTGAAACAAACAGTGATGGACGTTAACACACTCTAACACAGATACATCGATACTCAGCAACATAAACAGAGGAGGGTCTTTAAAAAGCCACAGCGCAGGTAAACATCTCCTCCTCAACATCAACATCACCAAAAGAGGACTGTTCTCCTTCATATGTCTAAACCTTCTGGCAATGTTTGTTTTGCCGTTTCTAATTAATGCAGTCAGATTTAATTGGGCCTCTTTCATGCATTTACAACACTGTGGGCATCCCAGGCTAGCACATGTGCAGTTTGTTAATAGGCAGACAAATCACAAAGTATGTGTGAAAAATAACTGTGGTTTTGCTGTAAAGGAACCACTTTTGGAACAAGCGTTTGCTGAACGAACGCTAAATGTATGTGTGTGTGTGTGTGTGCGTGGGTGGGTGTGCACGCAGACACATGTGGAGTCAACTGCATTTTTCACAGCTCTAACGACTTCAAAGGGCTGAGATGAGAGTGAAAGCTTCCATATGTGACATTTGAAACAAATTGAATAAGTGCTCGACTCGGCATGGGCCAGTAATGGCCTTTACTTGGGCATGGCCGCCATATAGACACGAGGCAACAATAAGACAATGTTTCTTAGACTGTTTGGGCATGTATGTTTGTGTCTGCATTTAGATCCAGATCTACTACTGCTCGCAGTACAGCAGTATTCATCGATAATTAAAGTTTTGTTGGTGTGAAGCTGATATCAGACTAAACCAGGCAACATGCTGCAACTGAAGAACACTACACTGCTCAAGACCCAAGAACACAACATAATACTTTAATTTCTATCATAACACCTACCACAGTTTAAACTAGCTCTTCTCTAATTTGTTTGGCAAACACATTCTCTGCAGCTGGTGTTATAAACAGTAAAAAACAACATAATTTATGAAGCTGAGAACTGATCTATTACAGCAATAGACACTCCCCATGTAGCACATGGATCTCGTTGATCCGCTGTAAATCCTACCTTCATATCAATGACAGTCTGCAGAGCCCTTGTCTTGGCCGGATCAGCCTGGAGCTGGTTCCGGCGATGAAGCTCCTGGGGAGGGACCCGGTAAAAATAAGCCTGGCGGCTCATCATCTTTAGCACTTTCTACCACCCACAGCTCCAGATAAGATACACTGATCAGTCTGACCAGCCCCAGTTTCTATGTATATTTTACCACCTTTTTAATATCTTTTGTTAAATATAGCAACGTTATCCTCTACTGTGCATCCTTACAAATCCTTTTTTTGGAAGAAGAAAAAAAACTTTTCCTATGATCTTGAGACGGTCCCTGATCCTCTCTCGAGGACTTCTTTCTGTCTCTGGCTGCTGGTTCTGGTGTCTATTTTCTCTGCTCTCTCGTCTTCTGTGCTGTTTGTTAGTAGGTAGGAGACATACTCAGCTATAGGTCATATGAATCTGTCTCTATAATTCTCTCAGTCTCTATCTTTCTGTTTCTCACTTGTTATCTCCGTCTCTCTCGCAGATGTCTCTGGCATGCTAAAGCTCTTGCTTAGCAACACTTTCTGCCAGCACATGCGCTACTCTTCTTCTATCAATAATTAATGGTAGCTCTGACCTACAATTCAAGCTAATGGGAACACACACACACACAAACACTCATACCGTCACACAACAAGTTGAGCGTACTTGTTGAACATAAAAACCTGTGAGTATGAGTATTCAAAACAAAGAATATTTTCAACTATACAGAGTCCTGCAATAAATTGAAAGCATTTCAAATTATATAATTAGAATACAAAACTTGAGCTTAGATGCCAAACATCACCTTTACTGCTAAACTTTATTTAACCAGGGGAGTATTGCTTTTGAAAGCAATGTTCTCTTTGTCACAAACTCCCTACTCACACCCACACAGCCACACACATTCACACCCATAAGCCTCCCAGGCCAACCACTGTCTGATCTGCTGACCACCAAGTGGCTCCACTGGAGCCGTTTGGGGTTAGGGGCACCTCTGTTGTGGTAAAGAGGGAGTGGCCCTTGCTATAGGGCACCTCAGTGGTGGCAAGCGCTGCTCTTTGAATCCCAGCCCAGAGGTATCTTTATTGAACCACAGACTTGTGACCCACAGGCTCATCAAAGCTTCGGGCCACCACTTCCAGCTTCACAGAGGGTTAATTGCAGGACTATTGCACTGGATTGCACACTGCTTTAGCGTATGCTGCGCCGAATGGAAACAAAAAAAAGTGATCATAGACACAGCTGCAGGTGACAAAACATAGGCTTCATAACAACCAAATAATTTACTGCAAGGTAGGTGAGAACAGTGAGGACTGCCTGCCACTGCTGCATCATTATGGTATCGACAGCTGCTGGAAAGGGACAAACATGGATTTTCCCTCAATAGAGGTTGTAAAAATGCACATGGAATACCAATTGGGCTAGATAGGATCACAAAAGCACAGACACGCACGCACCCACGCAATGACTAATGCCTAATGTATGTATATGTATATGTATATAATGTAGTAAATGAAGAAGTTTGAATGACACTGAAAACTGCAGTACTATCAACACCAATACTGTAAAAATGACAATCAGTGGGTAATGAAAAGCCAACAAATCAGACAGAAACCACATGGAGATTGTGTATTCATATCAAGGCAGCTCATCAGTCAGTCAGGGGCTGTAAAAGACTAGAAAAGCATGAACAGACAAATAGGGAGAGGCAACAGGTCACCATTATTTCCCATTCTTCCCAGTTCCCCCAGAAATGAGAGGTGACAAGGGCCTTATCCTCTTCAGTTGTGGATAAGGAGGGATTACTGCTGTCAGAGCATGCCTCCCACAGACTGGCATGCCCACTGCTGCCACAATCCTAATCTTCTACTCACCATATGTGTATTAATGTGTCAAAGTGAGGGTATGCTTGTCTTTTTGTCTCCCTGTCCTCATTCAAGTAAATATCCGTCCTGGGGAGAGAGTGTCTGTATTAACTCCTTATCAACAAACGGTTAGAGTACAGTTAGAGTACAATGGGGGAAATTAAGTCATGCAAGAGAGCATGTCATCAAAGACGGTCTTCTCTGCTCCACATGTGTCAGAGGACCGAGCATATGGAATGAATAGGATCAAACGTAACACTATAGCAATAAGTGCCGGCATCCTGAATGAAGGATACGGTCAAAAGGTTCAATTCTAGCCTAAAGGCAATGGTGTCATATGTGCCATGCGCAGACTAGAACATGCACAGATCCTACACACACACACACACACACACACTCACGCGCATACTCGCACACATTCATCAATCACATTCCCATCCCTTCTCCATCAGAGAGAAAAAGAAAACACATTTGCTTGCCACAAATGTTAAAAATGTCCGTCTATCAGCTCAGTGGCTTAAGAGAAGCAGTTTGAAAAGACAAAGGGAATATCAGAGGGAAAGCCTTGCAGAGAAACAGGGAGGGGGTGAGGAGAAGGTTTGAGGGGTGTAATTTTGTCCCGATAAACTTTTCCGCTCAAACATTCTGGGAGATCAACAGAGCGTGGTATGTGGTGCCCGGGGTGTGGTGGGTAGAAGGGAGCATTGGTGTGTGTGTGTGAGTGAGTGTTTGCTGGTGGTATAGTGGTACAGTGGTCTTCTAATGTTAGTTCAGAGGGGCTTCATCAGACGAGGCTGAAAGTATCACCAATCAAAAATTAAATCCTAAAAAGCCCCACCCAGGACAGGTTTTTCACCAATTAACCTAACCACAACAGATAGCATATCGGTCAAGGGAGAAAGAAAGAGAGAGTGGGAAAGACAGACATACACAGACAGAAAGGCAGATGACAAAGGAGCGAGGAGTAGACGTGAAAATGTTGCAGCTGGTGGGCTGGTGGCATGAGAAAGTGAGCAAAAAGAAAAAGCTGGAAAGAGATTACAAAAAAGAGGGATTTGCTGACATGAACTTCCACTTCTCCTCAACATGCTGGCACTGGAGAGTTTTAAAAAGCCTGCTACATTTCTGAAGTTTCGTCAATGTCTGAGAGAGGATGCCAGGGCAGACAGAGAGGGCCTGCCAAAAACAGCAGCAGGACTTCTGAAGCAGTCATACTATAGAAAAACAGGGAAGCCATAAGTACTTTGCCCTTACGTTCTCAACACAAGAGCGACGCTACATTCTCAGTCGTACTGATCCAATACTGAGTGAGATGTCTTCATGTACAGTAGGGGCCCTGACTCTATCCAGTGCCCCTGAGGACCGTAAGAAATCTGCAGTACGATATGTATGAAAGTAGATATGCCATCTCCAAGTTAAAAATCTCACAGAGAGCGTGTGCATGTGTGTGTGCACGCCCTTGGCAGCAGGTCAGGGCTGGGCAGGAACAGACCAGTGGTGCAGCTGTTATTATTGGGTCTACGGGGACCTGGCGGCTGGGGAGAGACGATTAGGCCCAGATTTATGCCTCTCAGCGTGTGTGTGTATGTATGTGTGTGTCATCACACATAACGTAACACGCAGTTAGTGCATGGAGCCACCAAAGTAGTTAAATTCTAATAGAACACTGCCTCTTTGTGGACATTACTAGTACTGCAAATATTATATTTATATTGTATTTGCCAGTAAACATTATATTATGTTTGATAAGAACTCAAACTGCTACTTCTGCTTAATGCATGGCTTCCACGCTATTATAACAAAAGATGCTGATGTTGAACATTTAAGTGTAATCAAGAGCCAAGTGAATAGGCTGACATAGATGTTCCAGTGTTTCTATGCTGGGGTCCGTGCAGCTAGGACAGACTGACAGTTGACAGACTTGAGTAGCAAACACAAGCAAGAAAGCACCACTACACACACACACACA